TAACGTGTAAATAAATTTAATTTAAAACTTGATGTGAGTTAAGAAAAACTTACTATAATTTGACCTTCGATCCTCAAGTCTACCTGCTCATATAACCAAATCTGTACCCTTGTTTTCTGAATCAACATGAAATAAATATAAAATCATTAGAGAGGGCTATGAGGGGTTCAGACTAACCAAATTATACCAAAAAGTTCACCAACATCTTAAATACATACATTTTGAAGATATTTGAAGATCAAGTTCTAAGAATAAATAAGCTTATTATTTAGCATACCAGAACTAGTTTTAAAAAAAAAAAGACGTGTAAATAACATTCGTGATTACATACTATTGGTTGAACCATAATCTTTTGAACTTTGGTTGCCATGGTTAATAGTTTCGAGCTTTGGAATTGACAGGCGTATATTGAACTTTATGGTTGCGAAATAAAAAGTAAGAAGCATCCTAATGATAAATCACATGATAATAACGATTGATTAATCACGTGCTTTATTATTTTTGATAGGCTCTATTAATTGCATCAAGGATTTACAAATTTCATAAAATTACGATGAACAAGCGGAAGATTCGTTGATCACATTCAAATTTCGGATGTTCTTACATCATAAGTCGAGAGAGTTCAGAGACCGCAAGGTCATCGAATGCACCGAAAGAGTATGTGTGGGAATTGTGGATCCGTAAAAAATGATCCCGGTGGATCAAAACCGTTTGTGATTTGTGTGAGGTGAAGATGGATCGGGACACGAATAGTGCCAGAAATATCTTGCTCAAGTATTTAACAGAGGGTCAGGTTTTGGCCTGACTTTGGGACTAGAACCTATGGATATGATTATTTATTCAGCATACAAAAAATTAAATAAAAAAATGGTTATATACCATTATAATATTATATATGGTTTATTATATTATTATTTTTATTTTTCTAAAAAAAATGCTAAACTTATATTAACACGAAGATGCTTATATGCTAATATAATTATGTAAATTCTACATGTCGAAGGATGCGCCGTTCATGCATGCGCTTTGTTTGTTTCCCTAAAATAAAAAAAAAATAAAAAAATGTATCGTCAAGATTACATCAGTAATACGTAAATCAAAAGATAAAAAAAAGGATTTACAACTGATCATCTAAATCAATTCACTAATTTTTTCACGAAGAAAATGAAGTATCGTTCAACAAGAGGTTCGCCCAAACTTCTCTCTTTCTCAGAGGTGGTCTTGACAGGCCTAGCAGAAGACGGTGGCCTTTTCATTCCACAAACCATTCCAACCCTTCCTCGAAACTGGCGCTCGGAGTGGTCGAAACACTCCTTTAATTCGTTAGCTCTGGAAATTTTTTCTCTTTATATATCCGAAAACGAAATTCCTCGCGCTGATTTAGAGTCATTAATCGACAAATCCTATTCGGTCTTCAGGAATGAAAAAGTTACACCCTTAAAGAAAATTAAAGAAAGATTTTACATTTTAGAATTATTTCATGGTCCTACCTTTGCTTTTAAAGATGTGGCATTACAATTTTTGGGGAATTTGTTTGAATATTTATTGGAGAGAAAGAATAGAGAGAATGTGTTGGATGGAAAAGGTCGGAACGATAGAATTACAGTTCTCGGTGCCACCAGCGGTGATACTGGAAGGTGAATGAAAAAAAAACGATTTATTAATAACGATGATTTTATGTGATTAATTAATAATTAATTGATCGATTGGTTCCTTTGTCATAAAGCGCAGCAATTTATGGGCTAAGAGGCAAGAAGGACATCTCAGTGTTCATCCTTCATCCTCGAGGAAAGGTATCATCTGTTCAGGAAGCTCAAATGACGACAGTCTTGGATGAGAACGTTCATAATTTGGCAGTTGAAGGGACTTTCGATGACTGCCAGGTGAATAAACTATTACATCAAAGTCTTTCTGTGTGCGGGCTTCTACACGTAAGTTTAATGAATTCATATATTTTCGACAGGCTATCGTTAAAACTCTTTTTTCCGATGTTCCATTCAACAAAAAAAACAATTTGGGAGCTATTAATTCTATAAATTGGGCAAGAATTTTGGCACAAATCGTATATTACTTTCATTCGTATTTTCAATTCTTGTCACTGTTGAATATTTCTCCAGATTCTTCTGAATCTTCTAATATTCGTCTCCAATACGTCGTACCAACGGGTAATTTTGGTGATGTGTTGGCAGGATATTATGCTAAGCGCATGGGATTACCTATTGAAAAATTGGTTGTGGCTACTAATTCGAATGACATCCTGGATAGATTTTTCAAATCTGGCAGATACGAAAAAGTGTCTGGCGAAAATGGTCGACACGTAGTACATGAAACCCTAAGTCCTGCGATGGATATAGTTGTTTCTAGTAATTTTGAAAGATTGTTATGGTATTTGGCATATGAGACTATTGACAACAGTAATGAGTCAGAGGTGTCTAGTAAGGAAGAAATGAGATCAAATCTTGCCGGTTCAATTGTAAACAAATGGATGAATGACTTAAAAACGGAACATCGTTTGATCGTCGATAAAGCTCAATTGGAAGTAGCTTTACGTGATTTCAGGAGCGCTCGAGTTTCTGATCAAGAAGTGAGTGTTTAAGTTGGAGGATTTTTTTTCAACACAGACATTAATTTTAATTCTTCACGAATGTACACGTAGACCATGGACACAATCAGTCGTCTTTATTCACCAGATGCCGAAAACCAAGTTTCTTATGTTTTGGATCCGCACACGGCAATTGGTGTGACGGTCGCCGAAAATCAGATTATATCAGAGTAGGTGAAAACAACATTTAACATATCAGTCTTTTTTCATTGTACTCAGAAATCATTTCTCGATATTCCTTAGAAATACCCATCAGATTTGTCTTGCCACGGCACATCCGGCAAAATTTTCGTCGGCAGTCGAGGAGTCTCTAAAAAATTTCAAAGAATTTGAATTCAAACAGATCTTGCCTAAAGAGTTTATTGGACTTTTGGAAAAAAAGAAAAAAGTTATATATGTTGAACGGGCAGATCCTGAACTGGTTAAACAAATTGTTGATAAAGAATTAGAAATTGAACTTAGTCAGATGTCTTCGAAAACCAATGTGTAATGTTAAATATTAAATAATAATCTATTTATTGTGAAAAAAATCTAATTGGACGACCACATCTTGTATATCCTAAAATCTTAATAAAGTGTGTGTGATTATCAATCAAAATTAAATTTATATAAGTAAAATGTCCTCAAAAAAAACCAAAGGTTCAAAGTCGTCGAAAACGAGATCGTTAAAATCGAAAAATGCAAAACCTTCCAACTCTGCCAAAAATGTGAATAGTTTGAAGAATTAAGTTTTTACGTTAGAATCAACCATTTTAAACGCCATGGCTAATAGGTAATCTTCCAATGGATATAGAAAGATAACATCAAGATTTTGCCAATTGTTAATAAAGTCGATGAAGACGATATTGAAGTTTCAGATGAAGACATTGATTTCTTTAAGGAGCACGCCCAATACACCGGGTTTCTTAGAACTATTGATCCAGTAGCTTTACACAGGTCGTAATTATTATCGAATGTATCACGAGAATAGCGAATGAATTCGTCTAATTCAACTGACCGATGTTGTTTTCGGTCAATCTAGAAAGGAAATAAATAAAGAACAGCCAGCAAAATATTCTAAACGTCTCGAAGAAATCGGAGAATCTCATTCCTCCTCAAATGAAGATGACGAAAGTGAAGACGATCTCGAATCAGAGGATGAAAATCAGATCGTGAACTCTGATACTGAACAAGAATATGAAAAGATGCCACGTGTAAATAAAGAATGGATACCAAGGGAACCAGTGAAGCTTCCGATTAAACTACCGGATGGAAAGCTCCAACATCAAGAAACTGTAGTAGGAAGTGGGTATGATTGCTTGGTTGGTTATTCTACGTTAAGTACTTAAGTACATGTTCTTATTACATATATTGAACGATGGTTAATCCAGCGGGAGTCGATTCGAAAAACGAGGACAATGAAAGCTCAACATCGGATCCTGTTTTTGAGAATGAAATGGAGATTAAAAAACCTTCAGAGGAGGATGGAAAATCTTTGCCTGATCAAAAAATACCGGACAAACTATACTTCATACAAAAAAAAGAGGAATTGGCAGAAATTGCTCAAAAGATTATTGAAGATCCTGAAAAAAATGTAAGTCGATGATTAATCATCCGATTTGATACTAAAACAATTGCTTAATGGATTTATGTTTAGGTTGGACAACTTAAAACTTTGCGAGAGATTGCGACTGACCAAGACACTAAGATTAGGAGACTAGCGTTGTTGGTTCAGCTAGTGGTATATAAAGATATCATACCTGGGTGAGTAGTTATATTAGGTTACTTCAATGATTTCATTTTACTTATTTAAGCAATGTTCTTTGATGTGTAGTTATCGAGTCCGAAATTTGACGGATAAAGAAAAGGCAGCACATGTAAACCATTATTTAGAAAATTTGATTGATGCGTATTTATTCGAATTCTATTTGAAATTCTCCATTTCTTACAAATAATCAGGTGTCCAAAGATGTCAAAAAAATTCGTCAATTCGAAGAAAGCCTTGTCGCTAATTATCAAGCATATTTAAAATCTCTTGAGACTGAATTAAGAGGTGTGAGTTATCTTTCTCATGCTAACAAAAACAGCTTAATGCTTTATATTCAAATATTCTTACTTCTGATAGAACAATCTTGTGCGGAAGTCGCATTACAATGCTTGTGTGACCTTTTGACATCAGTTACGCACTTTAATTTTCGATCAAACCTGATGACCATTATCGTACAGAGGATGAGTGCACCTGAGCTAAATAAGGTACATTTTATTCATGCTCAATACAATAACTTGAATTAACACACGTTTACAGATGTCCGTGATGTGCTGTAATGCCATCATCCGGGTGTTTAGAGAGGACGAGTCTGGCGAGGCAAGCTTAGATGCAGTTAAATTGTTAACAAAGATGATCAAATCAAGACAATATGTCGTACACGAGGAGGTTAATATTATTCTACTACGTGTGTTGGTGTATATTTAAATATTTATGTTGAAAGCTGTACTTCTTTATCTAGGTTTTGAATACCTTTCTACATCTTCGATTGAGAGATGAATTAAATGTCAATTCTTTACGTGATGATGATAAGTCTAAAATCAACGGAAAAAAGAGGAAATTAAATAAGCATGAACCGAAAAAACACTTGTCAAGAAAAATGAGAAAACTAGAAAAAGAAAGAAAAGAGATAGAAAAGGAGGTGAGAGAGGCTGAGGCTGTCGTAGATAAAGATGAAAAGGAAAAGCTCGTAAGTAAGTTGTTAGAATGTTTTCGGCAGGGTGTGTGTACAATCATAAACTTATTAACAATTTGATCAATTAAAATTAGCATACAGAAACATTGAAGCTTGTTTTTATTACCTATTTCCGAATACTGAAACATGCGGATTCATCACCTTTATTGTCATCCGTCCTGGAAGGATTGGCCAAGTAGCATCTTTTTTTTTTTTTACATTAGATTTTGGAATATATATATATTTCATGTTTGAGAACTAATTTATTAATTTTACTTTTATATTGTCTTATAGATTTGCACACCTTATCAATGTGGATTTTTTTAGCGATTTGTTAGAAGTACTCAAGAAGATAATGGGACGAGAAACAAACACTCGAAGAGGTTTATTATGTATAATAACAGCATTTCAATTATTGTCGGGCCAAGGTAATAAATTAGTATCAAGTTTGTATTGATATTTTTAATTACACACATTTCTTTCTCTTTTACAATTTATTTTTGATCTCAAAGGAGAGGCGCTTAATATTGACTTGCAAGATTTTTACACGCAATTATATAAAATATTGATTCCACTTGCCCTGGACGCAAACAACGATGAAATAAAACAAAGGACGAAAAAAGGAAATGAGGGAGAATATAGTAATGCACACAGTATAGCGACTGATTATCAATTATTGATGAAGGGTTTTGATTTCATGTTTTTCAGGCGAAGGACGGTAATTATTATCTTTTATATAATATATATATATATATATTGGCTACATTTTAATATTGATATTATTTTTTGTTGATCAAGATACCAATAGATCGATCCGCGGCATTTCTCAAAAGATTGTTAATATCGTGTTTAAATTGGCCAGGAAAAACTGTATTGTCATGTTTAGAAAAAATGGAAAAGATGATTCAGGTAATCTATTTTACCTGCTTGTTTCTCGAACAGTATTTCAACTTGTTTTTTTTCTAAGGTTATAAATCGTTGTTTATCATATTTTGCAGCAACATCCAAAATTAGATGCGTTGCTCACATCGGACGATATGGCATGTGGCGGTGTCTATCGGCCGGAGTTAGATGATCCCGAATTATGCAATCCATTTGCAACTAGTTTATGGGAATTATGCTTATTAGAGGTAAGACATTTATTTAAATTTGATACTACGACTTTACTATTTGATTAACGTTGCCTGAAATATCATCAGAAACATTACAATCCGAAAGTACGTGCTGCCGCGCATGCTTTGTCGACAATTGCAAAGAACAATGGATAAGTTTTTAAAATAGAGTGGCTTAGCATTTATTGTTATTTACATTTTAGTGTGTTCGAATCAATTTACCATTACGAATAGCAATGGTCTCCGAATTAAGTTTGTCCAAACTTTTATCTTACATTAAAAATTTTACAATATTTTCCCGTCTATGATCAATGCATTAGTTGGGAAAGAGAAGCAAATTTGTCCTTAATAATAAATAACAATTAAACCTTTGAGACTAGTGTTAAAATTTTCATTCCCATCATTTTCTTATCTTCATTATAACTGCAGTTAATCCTTTTTCGGTATATTGAACTTGGATTTCAGTTTTTCGTAATTTTTAGTATCTAGCTTGGGGTTCGCCGGTAACGGAAAGACCACTGGTGGCATACTAGTGGAATTAGTGATGCGGCTCACATCACCATTAATACGTCTACGACTACTTCTCTTTGAAGGCTCATTACCCTCAATGCGAGCCCTCTTAGACTTGTTTGAACCCTCGTTTTCGACAAATGTCACCCGTCTCTTGTTGCTGTCCTTTGATGCGTCACCACTAGAAGTTGGTGATTCGTCTGAACCGTCGTTTCCATTTACCTCACTCGATGAGCCTTGCGAGTTGTTATAAACGGGCTCATGCCGTGAGGCTTGCACCAAGGCTGCAAAGGTATAAAGACAGACAATCAGTGATGACCATTTTTAACTAATTCCTTATTATTCTTATATGCAAACCTAGTTTGATGTTAAGATCATTAATTTCCTTTCGTAGCTTCTCATTGTCATCTTTCACATAATCTTAAATGAAAAGGTAAAGGCGAATTGGGATCATTATCGAAAAAAAGTAATTTATTATGTATTGACTGTTGCTCACTTAATTGTCCTTGCAATTGAATTCCAGTTTCCGCGACCTTATCCCTTTCAGCTTTAAGCGATTCTACAAAATTCGATTTAATTGATCAATATCAAGTCTTAATTATATGTAAACTCTGATTTTTGAAAAATGATAGTTACCATTCATTTTTATCATTTCATCCAGTCGATGAGATAATTTATCATTCTCCTCTTGCAAGTGACTTTCGTTCGTTACAGTCTCTTTCATCTCCTTTGTCTTTTTTTTTTCTTCTTCGATTGCCTTTTTTAATGCATTAATTTCATTCTTGTGCGATTTTTCTTTCTTTTTTTCCTCCTTAAGTTCACTTTTCAATTCATCAATTTCATCTTTAAGTTGAGTTTTCTCTTCATCATGCTTGGATTTTTCCTCTTCAATAACTTTTCTTAATGAATTCCTTTCGTCCGTCGCACGTTCTGTCAAGAAATAGTTTAGGTTAACGTTTTATGCGAGAGCGACTCAAGTTGCAATTTACAGTAATGCATTTACTTAATTCGCGTTGTAATTTCGACTTTTCTTTTTCAGATGTATCCTTCTTATTTACAATATCCGTCATGGCCTCCTGATCAGCTTCCAGCTTGCAAATTTCGGATTTTAATTGATCAATCTCCTGTCGCATGTTTGAATTTTCGCTTAATTGCTCTTGTAATTGCGCTTTAGTTGATTCGAGCTCAACCTTTGAAACATCGATATTTTCCATTATTTTCTCCGTTTCCTCAACACTTTGAACTTGCTTCTTGAGAAGATGTTCTTTTTGTTGTTTCAACAGATGGAATTTTTCCTCGGCAATTTTGTAGGTTCCCTCCACCTCTTTGATGTGTTCCAATAACTCGAAACTTTCTTCTTTTGATTGTTGTAATTCAACCTTTAACGATTCACATTCGTATTTTGCCAGCTCTAAATTAAGTGACAAAACTTTATTTTCCGTGTTAAGGATTTCCCGCCCATACTCAGACATCCTAAATTTTTCGGTTGTCGATTGCGCATCATCCTTGAACTTAATCGCTTCACAATTCGCCGTGCACTTTTCCACCATAATCCTCATGACTTCATCGCAAGACGATTCATGCTTTGATGACAGTTGATCAAAATCCCTCTGTAAACTCATAAGATCCTGTTGAAGTCGAGAGAATCGATCTTTCATCACCGATAGTTCATCCTCTTTCTGAGATAGTTCGGACCGACACAGAACCAGACGTGAATCTACGTAATTTTTAGTGATACGACATTTTATTCGGCTTATGGTCCTCGCGAATTCGAGCCCTGCAACAATATTATTGGTTCTATGGTTATAATCCTTAGGATCACTCCATCCCTCGAAATTCATAAAGAATACTAGCATCCCATTTCCGTTAAGAAAGTCCGCGATAATCGACGTTATGACGGAATTTCTACACGGAATAATCCCGAGGGTAGTGTTTGCAAGCATACCTATGCATTTCCGAAGAACTTGCGTTGAATTTGGCAATTGAACAGGCAAAGGATTTGTATAAGGGTCAGGAATAAATTGAGGGAGACCAAAGTCGACGACACAGAGGGTTCCGATCGTGTTTTTTTCACGTCTTTTTGACTCAAATTTGATCAATAGCGCATATGGTTTTGAAGAGCCTTGCTTGATTAGTTCAGAATGTTGTCTTAATTGTTCAAGTGAAGAAACTTTCTCATAATATGGTTCAACACCATTGTCTATTATTTTTTGGTTTGGGACATCCCAATCTGTCAAAAGATTAACACATTGATTGTCGGTAATGCCCATAAACGCATAGGAAACGATCATATCACTAATAAGTCTCACCGAATCTTGAACCTTTTGAACCAACCCATCGAACACAGCTGTGAGCAAAGAGGTCCTATCATAACTGCTGCTAGGTTTCAACTTGAGGAATCCAATACCCATGGTACACAGTGCGGTATTGTATCCTTCTAATGCCAAGTTCAGATACTCTTCCGAGTACTTTGCGTATTGAAAATTTAGATCAGACGAGTTGCTGCATCGATCAAAGTAAAACCGCTCCCATTGAATTTCTCCTTCTCTTTCCTCGGTAGGTGGTTGTGTCACTGTTAGCGGATTTTTTATCACTTCGATGTACTCTCCACTCTCATCAACACCACATGAAACATTGTTGGGTAGTTGCGAGGAAGAAGAATTGTTGTGCACGTGTGTGATTACTTTTACGTGTCTCCACTCCGTTACAGTCATGTATGGATTTGTTTAACGCGTCAAATTATTCACGAAATGTGTTGGCAAAAATTAATGGAAAATGACGGCGGTCATCAACAATTTACATTTAGTATAAAGTTATGTAGGTATGCGTTTTGACGCGATATTTCATGATCAACCATCAACCTAAAATAGGTAGATCCGCAGTTTTTATTAACAATCACCTTTTTTTTTGACGGTAAACATTTATTAAGTGTCTGTCCTTCTATCAAACTGAAAAAGAATTGCGCCACCAGTTTGTCGAGTTTAAAGAAGGATTCTCTACGAGCCTTGTACAGCTTTAAAATCATTAAATAGTTTTGCCGACAGTATAATCACGTGTCTAAGAAAGGACTCCGTCATTTTGCAACTTCAAAAGAACTATCATCCATTTAATAAAATATACATTTCAAAATTGAGGATCTAATCCTTCTTATTTTTTTCAACACTCTCATCGAGCTCCTCGATATCTTCCTCGAGTTCCTTAAGTTTCTTTTTCTGTTTCGCAAGTTCTTCACGAAGGTGCTTTATTTTCTCGGCGTCCTTCAAAATTTGGAAAAATAAATATAAAATATAGAACGAGGTGGAAATATCAGAAGAAAATGAGTTAATAACAAACATGGGCTCTAATCCATTGGTCTTCGACCGCCTTCTCCTTCTTAGAGAAAGCACTATCGCTATCACGAATATGACCCTCGGGACGAGAAGAGTAATATGATTTTAAATGTTTATGGTAATTAGAGCCGGAAAATAAGACGATGGAAGAAGGGCGAAACTTAACGCCAGAGGATGAAACGACAGTCGACAAAAGCCGCGAAGAACGAGTTCGTAAAATTGATGGTTTAAACATTTTTGCGAAGCTGAAAAAATTAACCAGTGTGAAATCACCTTATATACGAATATTACGTAATGTCGTGCAACCGTACATCTAATCTATATCTAAATCTCGTTTTATCTTAAAACCCGTAACCACTCACTTTCCTGTTATGATGTCTACACCTGCACCCACCGAAGATCTCCTTTCGGACGTTCCTTTAGTGTTCGTCTCAAATTCTTACTTGGACGATCTCACAACAACTATACGTTCACGACCAATTCCATGGGAGGTTGGTGTGCATTATAAAAATATGATTTAATCAAGGATGCTTGGAAGCCTTACATTCTACAATATTTTCTTCTTCTACAGGGATATCATAAGGCCGAATTAATTACGCTAGACGAACTTGAACTCTTGAAACGAGTAGACAAACAGAGCCGCGAGCAAGTTAGATCGGTGATGCAAAAGGTACACTTACTTAATAAGTCTAGTTATTTCAATTATTTCAGATCTGGAAAGTGTTACTTTTTATTCCCAACAGGATTCAGAAAAATATGCGGTATTATATTTACATCTCCTCGAAAAGTTGACTCGTCCTGATACGGTACAAT